AGTGTGCAAATAGACAATTTCGTCCGTCTGTACGTTTATTGCTCTTTTATTGTTCTTTGTTGTGCTTTTCCCCGTGTATATGAGTCTATCTGAATCGATTTAATCATTTGCGTCTATATGTGCAGTTATATGGCACATGTATGCCTTTAAAGAACAGAATGTAAATTAGACGACTCATAATGTGTGTGTGAAGGTGAACTTCTGAATCAACATGATCATGTCGTTGTGTCTGTCCATCCGTGCTGATTGCACAGATCTATTTGGCATGCATATGAATGGAACTGTTCATCCGTGCAAATTTGGAAACCAATAACGGGCTCGTTTATATGGCAATCCGAAATCGAGTCCGCGTCAAATGTGCTCATCCGCCTATCTACAAAGAACATAAAATTTATATTAATATAAGATTTTAAATCGATCACTTGATCGTGTCAGCAAGTAGTTAAGAAGGGCGACTATTAACTTAACTGAGCCAAGTTCATTTCCCAATCCGACATGACGTACTTACGTTACGATCGGTTTTTGGTCGTAGCAAGCTGCGGATATACTGTGTTTTTCTTTTTCCGCACATCTTTTTGATCATCATCTTCCCTCCCTATAGAGGGGTAGCTGACATCCCTTGAGTGATTGATCGTAATTAAAACCAAAAAAAAAAAGTTTTCTGTTTGTCCGTTTCAACATAGCCTAGGACACAAGTGCACAGAGAGGTAAATGAAGCATGGCTCACGCTTTCCTTTGCATTCGCTGATCAAGTGGCAGGCTGTACGTATTTGAACAAAACATAAGCTAGATAACTAAGCCAAGTAGGCCATCCAATAATCGCAATCAACAATTTAAATCTTATGTATAAACGCTAAGCAAATCTCATATGACTCTTAAATCTAATAGACTGACTACTCTAGGTGAAAGCTACTAATACATTCCCGTCGCTCATTTTTACTAAGACTAACAATTTAGATTACCCTAGAAACGCTAAGCCTCTTACTACTGTTAATAGTGTCGAACAGGTTCTAAAAGGCCCAATATTTCGCGGGGATGATGGATATTCAAATTTCGCAACAAATTCTCCCCTAATGGTCTTTTCGCAAAACACTTAAGGGTGTAAAGAAATACAACGATCGCATATAAGTCTCCGATCTTCGTATCTCAATATATCAAAATGCTTTTGTTAGCTAAGACTGAGTCGCTGGTCTAATGCCCAAGATCTAAGATCTTTAGATATATTCAGAATTTCATTCTGGGATGATCGGCAAATTTAGCGAACCATCCAAATTACAATTCGCTTCACGAATACTTGCGACTTTAGAGGATTTTCGATAACGAAATGTCAAGGCGGCAAACTTATCGGGTATCATTACCATATTGTTACAAACAGGAATGATAGAATTAGCATACTCTTATCCACCAATAAGTTTTATGTCTTTAATTTTTTATATGTCTCTCTGAGGTGCCATAAAATTTCATTCTACACCAGCGCTTGGGTTAACCAACATAGATATGCCAGTCAATGTCGTTTAAAAGCATATAAAAGCGTTACTCAAATGTAAAATTGCTGACGTCATTTTGGTGTTTTTTTTTTTTTTTTTCTATTCCATTACTACTACTTAGTAAAACCCTCTGGGCAGATATACTCATAACTATCCCCTTAAATGAAAGAAGAGAAAGAAAATAAATAAATATTTTAGATAAAACAAACAGAAATTTTTATTTAAATCGTCTTTGTTGGCTCCGGTAGCGTTTTCTTTTTCATTTCATTGTAATTCAGTTTTATTATATCCACTACCGGGTGGGGATATACTCAAGTAGCGAAGTGTTTTTAATGCAGACAAATATGCATTGTGAGCATGCTTTGGTCACGGCCATAAGATTGATATTCAAAATGTATTTAATTGCCTTCGTCCGACCGTTAAATTCTTTTCGCCTAGATTTGGAATTGTCACGTCCCGAAAAATTAAAAGTAAAAATGCTGGGCATAGGCTTTTATAGGCATAGGCACCTATCAAGTCTAAAACACAACCTAATGCACCCTCAAACCATGATGTGTTGAATGTCAAGGATTCGACCTAAAACGGAGTACATGGCTTTCGTATTTATTTCCTTCTCGCAATAGTCTGTCGCACCCATTAATATTTATAATTGTAGAGAATATGTTCTATCATTTAAGAGATAATGTATTTTACGACATTTATTTAATATATTTGCAATTTGCTAACGTTATCATGAAACGTACGCTTATCTAAATATTTAACTTTTGCTTTAGTTCTTCATTCATTCATTTATTCTTCGCAATGCAATGCAAAAAAATTGCTTAAGCTCTCTGTGCGCTTTTTTTGCTGAATTCCTTTTGTCTGCTTCCAACTGTGAAAGTAAAATGATGCACATTATAAGTCTATTTAAAATTTAAAAAAAAAAAAAGAGTCGAGAAGAGAGAAACCAAAAAAGTTGTGGCTAGAAACGAATCTTTTCATTTCTACCATTCACGTAGTTTTGTGGCCTTCAAAAAGAAAAAAAAAAAAAGAGAAGAAAAGAAAAGATTTTTAAACTAATGCAAACGAGCCGTGTTTCTTCGAAGGTATGTGATGAATACATTCTACGGCTATGCTATTGAAAAGCATCCGTCGTAGCGCTGATCAAGTTGCTTCTCTTGTTCTCTTGTCAATAGGCGGGCCATGTACCGATTTCCGTCTGTTAGTGAAAATCGTTTCATGAAATTTAAGTGCCGTACGATACCCTGAGCGAAGCTTAGGAAGATATAGATAAACTTACCAGCTGCGCATGACGTCCACTGCAAATTTAAAAAATATCAAACCCGGGAACTTTTGTAATATATATATATATATATATATGCAGCGATATTGACTTATTAGAAAGACTATCATAGGCGGAAAGTCAAATACATTCGCTGAGTGTATGCGAATGCCTTGGCGACTTCACCTTATTTTCGAACTAAGGTCGAGTGCAAAAAGTAAAGAGCTTTAAAATTAAATTTAATATTTTTAAAAACGCCTTAGTGAGTTTCTAAGCCTGACTATAATTGTGGAACTTTTTCAGATAGGATGGAGAAAATATCTAAGATATATATTTGAGACCGAAAGGTTCATTTTTGGATACTCGTAAACTTGTATTTGAAAAATTTAAGACTATGCTAACTTTTCTATGGAGTGATTGAAACAGACGTTGTTGTTATTTCAATAGGCAGACAGATAGGCGAATATAATTAAGACTTTGCTGTTATCTAGTCCGATGAAACTGTTCATCTAAGTTGAGAGATTTGTGTTGTTGCTTATTCCTCTACGTTGGCAACGTACGGGCAATCTAATATATCTTCTGTCATGGTATGCGTTAAAAAATCATACACGTTAAACTTTGTACTGCATGTACGTAAATAGCTGTGTGTCCTAAAGATTCTAGATAGTCGTGAAAACAATCCGTAAGTTACGTTTATGTATATGCTGACGATTGTAATGTTATAAATGTACACTACAAGTACGCGTACATGTAAATACTCATTGCATTACTAATGTTCTGCATGCGAAGCTCATAAGCAAAATATGAAAATTGAATATCAAGCGATAACGTTTAAATATTTAAAATTCACGCTATATCAAGCAATAATTGGTCGTTTTTCAATTTGCCGGTTTTGTCTGGGTTGTTCGGCTGCCGTCCCGTCGGCATGTTCACTTGTCAATCATTTTATTTTTCGATTCATCGACTCATCGATCCACTATGTGTCATTGGGTTGGTCTTTCAACTCTCTAATCTGCCAGATTAGCAGCTTATCAGCTTTTCTATTTATCAGTCCATGTCGATCCATCCTATGCCACTTCACCGTTCTGTTAGCTTATCCATCCCCTGGTTTGTTAATTTGCTTGTTAGTCGACCTCTCGGTTCGTAAATCTGTCGGTCTGCCAGTTTTTCGCACTATTTGTTTGTCTTTCCGCTCTTTCAACAGTCGTTTATTTCGTCTGGTGTTTTACCCACTTGTGGTTTCTTTCGCTTCTCGGTCTGTCAGCGCGACGGTTTTCGTTATAGCTTAAAGTTAAGGAATATATTCGAATTTGCGCACGAGTAAGCAAACGAGTTTTTCCCAGTAAAGGACAAAAGAAACTAGAAGAATAATAGCAACGGCGTCTTCTTAAATTCCTTCTATTCTATTATTAATTTTCTTCTTCTGTTACGTTCAATCATTCGTAGGATGTCTCGTATAAATGTAACACTGTATTATATATGATACTATATATATATATATATATATATATATATCGATCTCGTACTCTCGGTTGTGATCTACTCAACTATAAGGAACATGAGAACGAAAGTGTTTCGATGATTTGCTATCCAAAAAAAATTTTCACCTAAAACTTTATAATATTTTGACTTTCGTTTTCTTCCTCGTGAACCGACAGGTTAGTCAATAAATAAAACTAAAGGAGTGAAGAGGCCATCTTTTATTCGATTTCTGACTGCCTGATGTATGTCTATGTATTTTTATGTTCAGTCTAGGTATCTCAATTTGCGAAATATTTTGATGTATTTCGCTCAACGACAAGACAATATTGAAAATGGGTTGAATAGCACCAAATTTACGGTTAGTCATTACTTCTACTTTTTGGGTAGGATGTTGCTTAAAAACAATTTCTCAACAAATGTGGCTTAAAATTTATACCGGAGCTTTTTCAAGCCTCTCCTAGGTAAACTTTTGCCTTCGCATCAATGAAATCTAATTGTTAGTCGCATATAAAAGAAATTGATGGATAATGATTGCCTATGCCAAAATTGAACCGCATTAATATATGTTCTAGACACCTCTGAGGGTTCTCATCAAAGCTGAGCCTTCATATGGCGAAGAGATCTAATCATAGGTGTTTTATAAGAAAAATAGTAATAGTAGGATATTTGATAGCGGCTCCGTCCGACTGCAATATTTTAACTTTTTCAGTTTATTGTACTCAAATGCATGATAAGTGCTTGCTTTTATTTGGTGAGCAATTCGACATTCATTGCATCGCAGTTTAGTTAGTAGGTGACGCGATATTAAATGACTGCAACTTTTCATTGGCACTGATATTTAGAACTGATTTTAATAAATATGTGGATAGAATTCATTTTACTCTTATTCCTAATAATTAATCTCCTCCATCGATGGGCGACGGCAAATAATGATTTCTTTTTGAAACGTGGAATACCACATAAAAAACCAAAAATACTATTCGGGAATATGTGGAATTTAGTGCTAAAACGTAAAAGCTTAGTTGATATAATTGTTGACTTATACAACGAACACGATGGGCCGTAAGTTTACAATCATTTGCACAATAATTTTCAAGAATTTGCAAAGATTACTGTGAAAGTGAAATACACTACAAGCGGTGTGCGCTTTATTTTTCTTAAACTTAATTGTCAATCTTGAACTTGCAATGTCAGTAAATTTTTGAAGATTACATGGAAACAAATATTTACATACTTGTGCGAGTATTAGTTAATACAAAATGATATGAGAGAGTTTTTATTAGTTCTTTACGGCCTAGCGAACTAAATATATCGCATGCAATATTTATTTTGCAAAGAGAAAGAAAGAAGAGAGTCTTGTATAATCGCTTTTAGTAGATATATGCTCTACCACGGAAAATGATTGGGATTATGTGTGGGTAAAGTCCAATATTTCACTCGCCTTAGTTGCATTTGGTGAAACGTTTTCTTCCTGCTATTCGGTCATAGTAACCAGTGAAGCATCCAATCACTTCAATGGAAGCTATACGAAGAGGTTGTTCAAATTTAGCGCAGACTTTTGATAGAATGAAATTCAATTATAAAAATTTTTATGTATTTATGTATATATAATGGCGACAATCTTTATATTCCAAATCGATCTGTCAAATAGCTTAGTTTAGACAGCCTATGCAGTGCAGCACTTCTTCTTGTTGTAAGTATTTAAGTTTTATGCTTTAAATATTAAAAAAAAAAAAAAAGATTTGTATTTGCATCCACTTGAGGGTAAACTATTCGCCCAAAAAGTATGTTCAGGTGTGTTCAATAGCGACAAATCGAATCAAGAAACACTTCATAAATACCCTGGGTCTACAATCAGGGCTTCTTACTTCTATTCAAACTTAATGGATAACCTAGGAATAGGCGTTAGGCGGTAATGACTAGAGATAGATGAAACGATAGAGAAACGAATAGGAAGCTTATCTCGTGTACTTTTGGCAAATGTGCAACCTATATTGTCTTGTAAGGAGTACTGTCGCAACAAAGCAAGACTAATAAACCTTGAATCTTCACCTCGTTCCGGTATTTTCGTAGAAAGTAATAAACGGTATTTGTTTTTTTTTTTTTTTACGTACAGAGTTTACGGAATCTTTGATTCTCGACAACCGGTGTTAATAATACGAGATCCGGATATAATTAAACAAATAACTGTCAAAAATTTCGAACACTTCATTAATCATCGTAGCATCTTTGGAGATGAAAATGATAAAAATAATTTATTTGGATCATCATTAATTATGATGAAAGATAGGCGTTGGAAGGATATGCGCAGCACATTGAGTCCAGCTTTTACGGGCAGTAAAATGCGTCAAATGTTTCGTTTAATGAGCGAAGTCGCTGTTGGCGCTGTAGCTTATTTGAAGTGTCAAGTAATGGAAGATCCCAGTCACACTCTGGAAGTAGATGTTAAAAATTTCGTTACACGTTACAGCAACGATGTAATTGCTTCGACCGCTTTCGGCTTGGAAATAAATTCCTTTGTTAATAATACGAATGAATTCTACCTGATTGGGAAAAAAGTGACAACATTTACATTTCTTCAGAATCTAAGATTTTTGCTTTATACATATCTCAAGGAATTAATGAAGGTATTCACTTAATCACTCAAAACGTTTCACATGAAATTCTTGATTTTCATTGATAGATCCTAAACGTAGGATTGTTTGACAAAAAGTCAACCGAATACTTTATGCGCTTGGTAATCGACGCCATGAAGTATCGTAAAGAAAATAATATAACGAGGCCTGATATGATCAATATGCTGATGGAGGCAAGAGGCATGATAAGCAGTGACAATCCAAAATCACATCGCGAATGGAGCGACGTCGATATTGTAGCTCAATGTTTTCTATTCTTTTTTGCGGGTTTTGACGGTAGCGCATCTTTAACGTGTTGTATGGCTCATGAGATTATGGAAAATGCCGAAGTTCAAGAAAAACTTTTACAAGAAATTCGGGAAATCGACAGCAACTTGAATGGCGAGCCTGTAACCTACGAGATAATACAGAGTATGCGATACATGGACAACGTTATTTCGGAGACATTACGCAAATGGACCCCTGCTGCATTAATGGACCGTGTCTGCAACGAGGATATAACCTACGAACTAAAAGACGGTAAGAAATTAGAAATTAAAAAAGGTGACGTCATTTGGATACCAACCGCTGGCTTGCACAGAGACTCCGCTTATTACGAAAACCCTGAGAAATTTGATCCGGAGCGTTTTAGTGAAGCGAATAGTAATAACATAAATCCATTTACGTATTTGCCATTTGGAATCGGCCCTAGAAATTGTATCGGTAGGTGAACAAATCAGTCAGAGTAGTGAAGTGTTTTTGAATACATTTTGTTCTCTTGCAGCTTCGAGGTTTGCTTTGTTGGAAACTAAGGTATTAATATACTACTTGTTGCGTGATTTTCAATTCGCTGCGGCTAAAATGAGCTGTGTGCCCCTTAAATTAAATCAAAGTGGACTTCAGTTGCTTCCAAAAAATGGTTTTTGGCTTAAATTTGTTGCTAGAAATTAATTAATATTTCATACCATTTTTTTTTTTTTTTTAATAAAGTTGGTTCCTCAGCTGATATGTAAATTTGTTATATATATCTAGAAGAATTTTAAAGACAAGAATAATCATTATATGCACTTTACTAAATTCGATGTTGATGAAGACGAGTAAGCAAATGATTGAAATAAATCGAATTGAATTGATTGTTTGTTTGTGTGCGATTTATGACGTTTGCTTAGTTCATTTATTGAATTGTCATATCAAGTAATGTCATGCTTCTGCACAATTGCTTTCGTTTACACTTTTTAAAAAATAAGCACACACATGACAACGTATTACGGGCTTTTTTGTTAATAGTGAAAGAAAAATGCAGCTAACTAATCCATCGCAAATCGAAAACCTAATGGTCGACTTTATTATTAAGAGGAGTAAGAGTTTATTTAATGGATATCTGTGGAGGAGGAGGAGGAAATCTCGTCAAACAAAACTTTTGCACATTCAAAGTTTATAGCGAAGGTTAACCTGAAATCTGATTGGTTCGTCTGTGTGCAACAAGCTCTCACAACGCAGGAGACTTGGGCACAATTAGACAAATACTTCCATGACTCCGTTTTAGTACAATTGGTACTATGTCGATTGGACAAAAATTATCTAAGCTGGGTATAAAAATTTCCGCTGACCGAATCGAAACAGTAATCTTGGCTGACTTCCCAGAATATTATTAACCATTGATTAGACGCATTGTCAAGACAAGTGGCAAGAGACACAAGCACTTCAATTTCAAATGATGTCTTTTGTTGGAAAAAAAATACAAATCCTGTAAAGATATCGCGCAATGCTACGGCTGCCGGGAATATGAGAGAGAATTTTCCGCAGAATAAGAAAAACGACAGAACGCAATATTTCGCACATTGTCAGCTGTTTTTTTGTTATCAAAGCACGAATTGAAACTTACGTTGCATATAATTTTAATTATAGCATACGATGTTTGAGATTTGGTCATCCCTGTCAGATGACTTTGGACAAGGTTAAGTGTTAAAAGGATTCACTGAACAAAAAGATAGGCTTTCAAGTGATTCCTAAACTATGTTACATGTATAAAGGGATAAATAGCATGTCTGTCCTTCTGCCTTTCACATCAGCATGGGAAAAAGGGCTGAAAAGCTTTTAGAAATCGTGCACTCTGACGCCTGCGATTTTATAGCATATACATCATGTAACATTTCTCGGTGTTTGCTGTTTTTCGTAGAGGATTGTAGTAGAAAATCATTTGGATATTTTCGTCGATCAACAGAAGAAGTTGCGAATAAATTTGATAATTCCAAGAGTATGGTCGAAGGCCAGACTGGCTTGAAAATTGAATTACTGGATGTTGGTAACGCCGAAGCACTTTGCAATAAGCGTCTGCGAAACACACTTAAATCGTCTGGTATTATTCATCAAACGATTGCAGTCAAGACGAATGTATGAAAAGTTTTATTGAGAAGGGTAGACGCCTACTGCTTCAAGCGATTTTAAGCAAACGTTATTGAACAGAGACGGTGAAAACAATTATTTATCTGATCAATCGTTTGCCTTGCAAAGTTATTCAAAATGCTGTGATCGGACGAAGCTTGCTCAATATGTATGTCGCATCTCAAAAATCTTGATTGTATATTGACCTTGAACTTACGACTTCAAATAGTCTTTTGGTATATGTATTACTGTACAAGTACATGTGTTACTAGCTACAAGATGATATGGGAGAATATTTATTACATTTTTACTTAAGCCTGACACCCTCCATGCACCCCCTTTGCAGCGTTTATCTTACAAACGTTAATTATATACTGCCTCGACTGCAGAGAATGATCATAACAGAGATAAAGCAATTCATAGATGTTTCAACATTATGTTCAAAATATATTTTGTAGCATTGTAGAATTCTAAATTTCATTCTCGGCAAATGTAATAAATAGGTCGATAAGTAAAAAAATAGCAATAATTTTTCGAAAAGATGGCGAATTTGCTTACAAAAAATGTTCGCAAGTTATTGTTTACGCTTGCACATATAATTGCTTAAGCAACGTCGGACACAATCGCACGCAGGTATTTCTATTATAGCGCACTTCTTCAGCATTACGTGTACACTCATAGTTCGCATTACCTTATCATTTTCGCCAATAGATGTCCCTGATCAAAGTAATTTTTATTAAAATTTTTATTTACTCTTCACTCAGAAACTACGTAGACTAATCGATAAATGGCTTTCTTGTCAAGAAAATGCATGCAATTTTCAGTGGCTTCCGTTGTTTACGGCAGCACCTTTTTATAGCAAATCGATCTGTCAAATAATTAATTCAGATGGCCTATGGAGTTCAACCTTTCTTCCTGCTCTGAGCATTTAAGTTCCGAGCAATAAGCTCGATTTTAAATATCGTGGCTGTTAAAAAAAAAAAAAACAGATTTTGTTTACATAAACTTAAGACTAACGGGAGGGAAAACCATTTTCTCAAAAAGTGTTCGGTTCACACGCCTATAAGGACTACAGATCCTTATCAAAAGCTAGAATCTTTCCGAAACATTGCGTAAATGCGCTGGATATTCAATCAGCACTCAAACGTACTGAATACATTAAAAATAGAACGTTTCCTCGAATAAACTTGAAGCTTGTGCTGGTGTATTTTTTGGCAATGTGCCCGTAAGGAGTTGTATGGAGTTGTCTGGTTAAAAATTAAGTTTGTACAGCTTGAATTCTTCCCTCTTGTCAGTAATTTCTTAGAGGGAAATAAACGATATTCTCCTTCTTTATCTACAGAGTTTATGGATTCTTTGATTCCCGACAACCGGTGTTATTAATACGAGATCCGGACATAATTAAACAGATAACCGTGAAAGATTTCAATCACTTTATTAACCATCGCGCTCTCTTCAACGACGAAAATGATAAAAATAATTTATTTGGATCATCGTTGGTCTCGATGAGAGATAGCCGTTGGAAGGACATGCGAAGCACATTGAGCCCAGCTTTTACGGGCAGTAAAATGCGGCAAATGTTTCGATTAATGAATGATGTCGCTGTTGGCGCTGTAACTTATTTAAAACAACAACAAGGGGCAGATCCTACTTACGCCGTGGAAGTAGACGTTACAAACTTCGCCACACGTTACAGTAACGATGTAATTGCTTCGACCGCTTTCGGTTTGGAAATAAATTCTTTCGTTGATAACGACAATGAATTCTATTTGATGGGCAAGAGGGTGACAACACCTACATTTTTCGGGAATCTAAGATTTATGCTCTACATATATTTCAACGGGTTGATGAAGGTATTCATAGGCTCACTAAATTATTGGAAGATATTTCAAATGTAATGTTTGATTTTCTTTTTTAGTTCCTGAAGATAGGACCGTTTGATAAAAGGCCAACCGAATACTTTATGCGTTTGGTAATCGACTCCATGAAGTATCGTAAAGAAAATAATATAAAGAGGCCTGATATGATCAATATGCTGATGGAGGCAAGAGGCATGATAAGCAGTGACAACCCAAAGCCACATAATCGCGAATGGAGCGACGTTGACATTGTGGCTCAATGTTTTGTGTTTTTTATTGCAGGTTTTGCTGCAACGGCCTCCGTCACCTGTTTTATGGCTCATGAGATTATGGAAAATGCCGAAGTTCAAGAGAAACTTTTACAAGAAATTCGGGAAACCGATAATAACTTGAATGGCGAGCCTGTAACTTATGAAGTAATACAGAGTATGCGATACATGGACAACGTAATTTCCGAGACATTACGCAAGTGGACCCCTGCTACAATTATGGACCGTGTTTGCAACCAGGATGTAACCTATGAACTAAAAGACGGTAAAAAATTAGAAATTAAAAAAGATGACGTCATTTGGATACCAACCGCTGGCTTGCACAGAGACTCTGCTTATTACGAAAATCCTGAGAAATTTGATCCGGAACGCTTTAATGAAGCGAATAATAAAAATATAAATCCATTTACGTATTTGCCGTTTGGAACGGGCCCTAGAATTTGTATTGGTACGTGAATAAATCAATCAGAGCAGTGAAGTGTTTTTGAATACATTTTCTTCTCTTGCAGCTTCGAGGTTTGCTTTGTTGGAAACTAAGGTATTAATATACCACTTGTTGCGTGATTTTCAATTTGCTGCGGCTAAAAACAGCTGCATCCCCCTTAAACTGGCAAAGAGCGGTTTCCAGGTAGTCCCAGAAAATGGATTCTGGCTCCAATTTATTGCTAGAAATTAATTAGAATTTTATTTAGTACGTTTTTAATAAAGTGGACTTGTGCACTTTGCTGCCTGTGTTTATCAGCAACTTGTAATTCTTTGTTAGAAGCGTAATCTAATTTATACATGCTCCGTATGATATGGGCGGCACAAAAAGACATTTAATTAACCTTAACTTGATGAGGAATGGAACAAAACGTGAGGCAAGTCATAGTTTTCTTAGAATGTTATGAGTACGCATGAGTGTGTAAGTAACAGCCCAAGTCAGAGTTTAGTTTAAATTCAATATTTGTGACTGCACTAACACAATCAATATCCTCATCGACCATGTTGAGGCGTGGTAAAAAGGGGGAATCATTACGCGTGGGAGACATCGCAATGTCTTTGGTCTTACTTGAATTCAACTTTAAATCTTTAAAATCAGACCAGAGTGTAATACGCTCTAAATGGTCATTTATTCAATGGATCAGATCCTCCACAAGTCCCAGGATACGCTAAGCGAAAGCTACAAGTCAATTATACAGGGATTGAATAAAATTGGCCCCAAAAAATGTATTCTTGCGGAACACCACATGTAATCAATCCGAGTTCCGAAGAGGTCTCGCCAATTATCACACGTTGGTACCGAGTTTACATATATAAAACTTAATTAAGATGGCAGCTTATATGCCAAACGACTTGAATTAACACAAACACTTTCAAATATCTAATTCCAGCTATAGACAAATGTCTCACTACATTCAGCTGATTTTTTTCCCCTACCCTAGAATTGCGATCAGAATATATTAACTTTAAGCGAATGTATGCAACATTCAGAGCGGTTCGCCATGATTTACGAAAAACTATCTCTTTGACAGAAACCGGTCTTCGAAATACTTTACTGCAATTTCGTATAATTGATATATTTTGGCCAAAAGGCACATCGGTTTATAGGACCGTTGCTACGAGCATCCCTTGCATAATTTTGGAAAAATCATTACAGAAA